GTTTCAAAATTCAAATAGTCACTGAATTTGAAGAGTTTCATACATTATTGTCTTCTACTCTAATTGAATTTAACCAAAATCAATTATAATTATAATGTCATATCTAAAAAATTAAAGTGTAGTTGTTGGACTTCATATTCTATCATTAAGTAATTAAAATATTAGTATTTAATAAATAAATTAATTTTTTTATGATTTAGTGGAAGGGAAAAATGGTAATCCAACTTTGAAGGTCGGGCTAAAATGGGTTTTCAAACCAAAGTACAATGCTAATGGAACTGTCAAAAGGTATAAAGCTTGACTGGTCGCAAAAGGATACTCTCAACAACAAGGCATCGACTTTGATGAGACGTTCTCACCAATAGCTCGCTTTGAAATGGTTAGAACTACTCTAGCCTTGGAATCTCAACTTGGTTGGCATGTTTACCAATTTGATGTTAAGGCTACTTTCTAAATAGCGACTTACAAGAAGAAGTTTATGTTTGCCAACCTGAAGGCTTCATTTCTAGTGAAGGGAAGAGCAAAGTATACTTATTGAAGAAGGCATCGTACGGTTTAAAGTAAGCACCACGGGCATGGTATAACGAAATTGACTCCTTTTTTCAAGAGCAGCAGTTCAGAAAAAGTGACAATGAACCTACACTTTATGTGAAGAAGCGAGGTAACAGTGACTTTCTGGTTGTTTGTCTTTATGTCGATGATATTATATATATGGGATCTTGTGAATCTATTGTTGAAGTTTGCTTTTAGTTACTGCAGCAACTTTTAGCAAAATAAGTTATTTAGTTTAAATAAATTTGAATTTTGAATTTTAGTTAGTTTGTTTATGTTGTTGAGATATTTTAGGTTCTTTAAATTTTAAATTATGCAGATTACGTGTTTTATGTTGGCTATTTAAAGCCTCTCAATGCTTAATAAAATTATTGAAATCAACTGAAAGTCATTTCAATCCATTGAGAGACATTTTCAATCTTCTTGTGCTGCCCCATTTTAAAAAAGACACCAACAGTGGTATCAAGAGCTTCATTGATCTTAAGGGATCCGTGAAATCTTCCAAAGAACTACCATACATTTTTAACCCGTAAGGGCTACCTTTTTAACCCATCAGGGCTACCCATTTTAACCCATCAAGGCTACCTTTTCAACCGGTGCTTTTTTCAACGCACATGCTTTTCTAAATCATTTTTTAACCAAAATAATGGCAAGCAACAGTCCCTCTTTGAATGCCTCACAAATTTTCACAGACGAAAACTATCAAATTTGGTCTGTGAGAATAAAATCGTATTTTGAAACATATGTGATAAGTGAGGTTGTGATGGAAGAAAAACCCTTACAACTTCTCTCTGCAAATCATACAAAAATTCGGATTAAAGCACTTCCAAAAAAACTTCTACACAATACAATGTCATTGCATGTGTTTTTGAAGAACAAAATCAAAAGAAGAAATTTTGCAAGTTCAAAACAATGAAAAATATCCAGCATCAACTATCAAAGCAAAAATTGAGGAGGAGCATTTTTTTCAATTGCAGTAACTAAAGCAAAGGAGGAGTGTTGAAGTTTGCTTTTAGTTACTGCAGTAACTTTTAGCAAAATAAGTTATTTAGTTTGAATAAATTTGAATTTTGAATTTTAGTTAGTTTGTTTATGTTGTTGAGATATTTTAGGTTGTTTAAATTTTAAATTATGCAGATTATGGGTTTTATGTTGGCTATTTAAAGCCCCGCAATGCTTAATAAAATTATTGAAATCAACTGAAAGTCATTTCAATCCATTGAGAGACATTTTCAATCTTTTTGTACTGCCCCATTTTAAAAAAAACACCAACATCTATTGTTTCAAAATTTAAGAGTTGCATGATGAGTAAATTTGAGATGTCCGACTTGGGTATGTTGCATTATTTTCTTGGGCTTGAGGTGAGACAAGGTTCAGATGGAATTTTTATTTCACAAAGGAAATATGCTACTGGACTTTTAAAGAGGTCCAACATGCTAAATTGTAATCCATCTCGCACGCCCATGAATATGAATGAAAGTTGGTACTCGATGATGATACAAGTGCAACAAATGCTTCTTATTATATAAGCTTGGTTGGTGGTCTAAACTACTTACCGCACACAAGGCTCGATATAGCATTCTCTGTCAGTTTGATTTCAAGTTTTATGCATAATCCTTCAAAGCAACACCTAGGTGCAGCCAAGAGGATCTTGTGATATGTTGCTAGCACAACAAGTCATGAAATTTGGTACTCAAAAGTATCAGGTTTCAAATTAATTGGCTTTACTGATAGTGATTGGGCAGGGAGCTTGGATGATCACAAGAGCACATCTGGGAATGTTTTTAGTCTTGGGTCTGGAGCAGTCTCATGGAGTTCAAAAGAAAAAAGATACAGTAGATTTGTCATCTTCGGAAGCATAATATATGTCTGAAACTTCAGCATGTTGTCAAGTTGTTTGGTTAAGGAAACTGTTATCATATCTTCAACAAGAGCAGATTGGTCCAGCGGAAATATGGTGTGACAACAAGGCGACAATTGCTATGACAAAAATTCATTTTTCACAGTAGAATGAAGCACATCGACACTCGCTATAACTTTATTCGTGATTTAGTTGCTGGTGGAATTATCTCACTTGAATTTTATGGCACAAATAATCAAACTAATGATGTTCTTACGAAGTCGCTGCCCCGCAACAAGCATGACTTCTTCAGACAACAAATGGGAGTTTGTGATTTTGATGAAAGGGGGAGTGTTGACTAATTCTTCAAAATATTTAGTTTGCAGAAAATCAGTTTGTAGGTCTATTCTCTAGGATTAGTGGGTTTATGTTTTACTTAGTCAATAAAATTATCTTCCTATTGTAGTGGACCATGTTTACCACGTTTTCCATGTTTTCCATTATTTGTGTCCTACTTTGTTTTAGTTTTACTCCCTCCGTCCACTATTATTTGTCAGGTATACTAAAAATAGTTGTCCAAAATTAGTTGTCAATTTAAACAATCAAGAAACAATTAGTCACTTTTTTTCAATTCTGCCCTTAATAATTACATAACTACTGATTTAAAAAAGTAGCCATTTTAAAGTTACAAGACTACTTTAATGTGAAAAAAGTTGCTTTTACAGTTTTCAAAAAGTACAAACCATTTTAATAATGATTGATAGTAGGGTTATATTAGTCATATTGCACCTTATATTAAATTTTTCTTAAGGGTTGTGCATGATCTTATCCTGACAAAAAATAGTGGACGGAGGGAGTAGTAGTTAATTGTAAGCCTATAAAAGGGCAGAAGGAATTTTTGTTTTTTATGCAAGAAAGTTAAGCAATAAAAAGAAACCTTTTGTCTATCAAACTCTTTCATTTTATTTTTTCCTCTTCATCCAACAAAACCACTATTCTGGAGCTTTGTTGTTCCTAACGTCTCTGATTGCTGCCACACTACCAAATAAACTATCATAGCGTCAATACATATGTTTAGACACCAACATCGAAACAATTGAAGATTGTCCCAAAATCGAGTAAAAAAATGAAATTATGGGACCCGCGTTGGAAATCCTAAAATTGATTATGTCAATTGGTTCCATTTTACTCAAGAACTTTTGCCCATAACATGGGCTCAAGCCGAGCGCAAAAAATAGCGAAATCAGATCCTGCAAAAATCTCATATAGAAATCACCATTAAAAAGGTAACCAAGGTCTCTCGGGACAAGAAATTATATTTATAATGCGCTCCCCGCACCTTCCCTATGATCCCAACATGTAGCCTAGCAAATTTCCAGCAATTATCAACTTAAATCATCCAAAATGGAGTTCTGTAACTCAAGATATCAATTTCACAACAATAAAAAATGAGTTGAAAACGGGACTAGTCTTAATTAAAAAGATCAGTTAAATGACTTTCACAAATGCGGGACTCAGTCGGCGAAGACGAGAGTTCTGCCCTTTTTAAATCTGTGAATGCGGCATCGAGCCTGCAAACATGAAGGGTCAACTTACTTGACCTCTGTGAACATATTGTAAGGCCTACGAACACGATGACCTAGCCCTTTGGTCTCCGCGAACGTGGCACTAGGCTCGCGAACGAGGAGACCCAAATCACTTGCTACCGCAAACGCGGCCTGAGTTGCGTGAACGCTAAGAAGAAATGGTGTTGCACCAGATGATGCAACACCAACTGATTCAACAAGTCTCAAAATAATCTTAAAAGGTGATAGGATCCGTTTGGAACTCCGTGCATCCAAACGAAATATGTTACCCTACAAAATTCATCATTCAAGACTCAACAAGGATGTTGAACTTTTCCATTGAGGTCGTTTCGACAAAACATGGGTCTCACACCCAAACTTAGTTTGCAGCTAAAATCTACAATGTTGCTCAAAATGAGCTTGAAAGGCTCAGAATCCGCATCAAAGGTCCTTCTAGACCAAAATCGACGTTCTAGAGCTAACGGAACCTTAAAAATAACATTCTAAGGCTTTATACCTGATGTTTTGACTGACCAAATTGTCGGTCCTAACAAGTCATAAATGGTTTGGCGTGGCTATAGGAAAGCTCTAAAGACCGAAAATAATGCAATAAAGAGGAAGTGAGTTGGATGGTCATTAAAATTTCTAATTATTTTTAAATATATATTAACATGGAAGTGCTTCTAGAAGCTTTGAGAAGATATCCATATCAATAAATCCTATTCCAATAAATCTAGTAGGCCATCTCTATGTATATATCATATTTTCGATAAATATGATCCCAAAACAAACTAGGAATGCAATTTATTAAGTTTCACATTAACTATTAACAAAAATTTTAAAATTCACATGTGAAATAGGAATAAATTGTATTAGTTTCCCAAATATAATGAACTAGGAATAGATTTTATTAAATTCCCACAGAAATTAGGAATATGATTTATTAATTTTTCAAATATAATGAACTTGTAATAACAATTTATTAATTTTTCAAAATAATGAACTAGGAATGCAGACTATAAATAGAAGTATGTTGTCAATCAATGTCTCATTATTCAATTAACTTTTTCTCCACATTGACTCTTTCAAAGCTTCCTCCGATGACTAAGGTCGACGCCGCTATCTCTTCCATCCCACTGACAATTGTTACCAGCGACGACTTCCACAATGATGGTATACCTTCAGACCCATTGCTGCTGCTAGGAAGCTACATTGATGTTGAGTTGGATGTTAGGGTAGAGACCACCACACCAAACAACAGTGATGTACCTAATGAAGGGAAGGTGTCTGATGTAAATCGGAGTAAGTTGCAGATTAAGAGAAAGATTACTCCTATGTGTCGAGTGAATCCAGATAGGCCGGAATGGTTGCCAAATAATTGGACGTTCGAAACAATAGCCCGTACTGGTGGAGCCAGTGCAAGACAAAAAGATAGTTATTATTTTGAACCGGTGTCTGGGAGTAAATTCAGGTCAAAGCCTGAGGTGAATCATTTCCTGAAAACAGGTCTCAAGAGGGAAAAACTTGACCCTAACCGTGATGTTGCTACACCATTTGAGGGCAAAAAACAAAAGAAGAGTGGCTCGAAAAAGGAAAAGAAGAATGTTGATTAATTACCTCAATTAGTGTAGTAACTAGTCAAAGAAGTTGTTTTACTTTCTCCAGCATTTTAGCCATCTTTAGTAGTTTACCTTAGTTGCTATTTTGTAGGAGTTAGTTGTTACTTGAAGTAGACATGTGCAAGTAGTTGCTGAAATATATGCAATAGTTGTTGCATTTTTCTTGTATTTAAGCACCATTTCAATTCAATGAAAGATTATCTTTTCAGCAACAAATATTTCTTTTCTCCGTCTTTCCTTTATTTCTGTTTTTAGAGTTGAAGTTCAGCTTTAAAATTCCAACAAAAGTGGTATCAGAGAATTTTTCTTGAGGGATCTGTAATTGGGGGAAACTAATTTTTCTTATTCCTTTTTTTTCATATATGTGTTCATAAACTTCTCGCATTGCACTAGCACCACCTATCTTCAAAGGTACAGGTTGTCATGTCTGGGCATCAAGAACGGAGGCTCATATGGAGGTAAATAATATGTGGGAAGCTGTTTACGAGGACTACGAAGTTCCTCCCTTGCGTGCAAAAAAACTATGGCATAGATAAGAAATCACAAGAAGAAAACAAGAAAATCAAAGGCTAGAGCGATCTTATTTGATGCAGTCTAATCTGAAATCTTTGTCAGGATTATGACAAATAAATCAACATTTGAGATCTGAAATTTCCAAAAGAAAAAATATAAAGGAGATGAAAGGATCAATGTTATGCGGATTCTCAACCTGATAAGAGAATTTGAACTTCAAAAGACGAATGATTCAGAGACAGCCAAAGTGTATTATGACAGAATACTCAACATTGCCAACAATACAAGATTACTTGGCTCTGAATTTCCTGATTCTAGATTGGTTCAAAAGATTCTTGTAATAGTCCCGGAAAGGTTTGAAGCAACTATTTCCTCACTGAAAAATTCCAAGGATCTGTCACACATTAATTTGACAAAACTGTTGAATTCTTTGCAGGAACAAGAAAAAAGAAGACTTGTGAGGTATGAAGGGACTGTTGAGGGCGCACTACCTGCAAAATTTCAATCAAACTAGGGAGATAAAGGAAAGAAGAAGTGGAACAAGAAGGAAAACTCAGGTTCTCATTCTCTTTAGGTCAATTGGGGAACAAAACACAATTTTCCTACCTGAAAGCATTATGGAATGAAGGTTCATCCACCATTCAAATACTAGAGAAGACCAAACCAGTAGTGTGAGAAATGTCAGAATATGGGACATCATCAAAAGATTTTCTTGGACAACATTTAACAAAATAATGTTGCATAGGTAGCTAATCAGAACGATGAAGAGAAACTCTTTGTAGCAACCTGTTTTGCAACTAGCACCTCAAGTGAAAAATGGCTCATTGATAGTGGTTGCACAAACCACTAGAACCACATGACATTAGATCGTGATCTTTTCAAGGGGTTGGATACTTCAGTAATTTCCAAAGTACAAGTTGGCAATGGAGAGTATATTCCAACTTAAGGAAAATGTACCGTGGAAATCAAAATTGCTTCAGGTACAAAACTAATCAAAGACGTGTATTTTGTACCTAATATAAGTCATAGTCTGTTAAGTGTTGGCCAGATGCTTGAGAATGGTTTCACGCATCTCTTTGAAATCAACTATTGTCAAATCAAGTATGAAGATAGCAATAATTTATTCACAGTAATGATGAAGAGAAAGAGCTTTACATTGGATTCTTTAGTGCACGAGCAAAAAACATACTATGCAACTAAGATCAATGCAGAAGTTCAGCTTATATAGAAGGCTTTGACATTTCAATCATTATGTTGGAATGAACCTAAGGAAGAATGATCTAGTTCATGGTTGTTTAACCTTGAAGCTGAAATATCAAATTGCAAAACTTGTCGATTTTGGCAAGCAAACAAGGCTTCCTTTCAACATAACAACTTGGAGAGCTACTGAAAAACTAAAGTTAATTCGCATAGATCTGGCTGGTCCTCAAAGAACTCTGTCACTCAAAATGAGTAAGTATTATATAGTTTTCATTGATGACTATAAGAGAATTCGTTGGATTTACTTTCTCAGGTTTAAGTCAGAAGTATTCTCTATCTTCTGGATATTTAAGACGTTGATCAAAATCAAAGTGGCTTCAAGATTCAATCTTTAAGGTCCGATGATGGAAAGGAGTATACATCTGATCAGTTCAATATATTGTGAAGAAGCCAGTCTTGAACACCAGCTCACTGCTCCATATACTCCACAAAAAATGGAGTTAGTGATAGGGTGAATCGGACCATAATGGAGATGGTTAGATGTTACTTGTACGAGAAGTGTTTGCCATAAGAGTATTGGGTTGAAGTTGCACATACCTTAAGATCATTAGAAGGAAAGACGCCATTTGAAGTCTGGTAGGTTATAAACCTTTTTTAGAAAAACCTCAAAGTTTTTAGATGGTTGTGCTTTACTTATGTGCCACAGACTAAAAGAGATGAGTTGGATAAAAAGAAGAATCTAGAATATTTGTGGGTTATAACATTGTTTCAAAGGCTTACAGGGTTTTCCAACCTCATACAAGGAAAATCCTGATAAGTGATAAGTAGAGAAGTGCATTTCATGAAAGATGAACGATAGAACTGGAGAAAAGCAAAACCAACATTAATTCCAGATCAAAGTACAATTCTCTAGCTGAAAGAAGAGGAATTGGTGGATGATGTCCCAGTAAGAGGCACAAGATCTCTCTCTGAAATCTATCAGAGATGCAATATGGTTGTCCTTGAGCTAACAAATTTTCGAGAAGAAGAAAAAGATCCAAAATGGAGAGTTCCAATAAAGTAGGCACTCACCATGATTGAGAAGAAACCGACCTGGAAACTTGTGAAAAGACCTGAAGAGAAGAAATCCATAGGAATGAAGTGGATTTTCATATCCAAGTTGAATGCAAATGATTCTATCTACAAGCACAAAGCCATACTTGTTGTAAAGGGTATGCTCAAAATATTGGTATTGATTTTTCTCATACATTTTCTCATGTTGCTTGATTAGAAACGTCCATATTATTATTGGCTATAGTTGCACAAAAGGGTTGGAAAGTGTTTCAATTGGAGGTTAAATATGCATTCTTGAATAGCTTTTTTGAGGAGGAAATTTGTGTTGAGTAACCTGAAGGATTTGCAATCAAATGGCATGTATCAACTCAAAAAAGCTTTGTATGGACTAAAGCAGGCGCCCAGAGCTTGGTACAACAAGATTGATGAGCATTTGGTGCAATTGGGTTTTAGAAAATGCCTTAGTGAAGTTACTCTATACATTAAAGGTGATGAAATTAATGTTATTATTATCTCACTCTATGTAGATGATATACTAGTTATGGGAATAAATGATGAACTTGTTAAGAAATCTAAAGAAGATATGCAACAAACTTTTGAGATGACAGATTTTGGAGAAAGGGTTTATTTTCTAGGAATAGAAATCAAGCAAGGACAAAATGAAGTGTTCATCTGTCAAAATAAGTATGCAAAAGACATTTTGAAAAAGTTCAGAATGGAAAATTGCAAAGAGACAACTACTTTAATGTGTGAGAAGGAGAAGTTAAGAAAAAACGATGAAGCTGAAAAAATGGATGAGACTCTTTACCGGTGTTTGTTTGGATGTTGCAACTTTCACTCATTTTAAAGCATCTAATAGGATCATAAGATATGTTATGGAAACTTTGAATTTTTTAGTCAATTTCTTTGCAAATTAGAAGTACGTGTTGCAGGGGTATTCCGATAGTGACTAGGGTGGTTCTTCCTATGACATGAAGAGCACTTCTAGCTATTGTTTTAATCTTGGTTCAAGTGTATTTTCTTGATGTTCTAAAAAGCAAGATATTTCTGCACAATCTATAGTTGAAGCTGAATGCATTTCAGCAACAACAGTTGCTGCAAAACAAGCCTAGTGGCATAGAAAAGTGCTACTTGATATGAATTTAAAGAAAGCAAAGTGCACAGAGATGTTTGTGGATGATCAAGAAGCTATTGTTATCTCAAATAATCTTGTTTTTCACGGGAAAACCAAGCATTTCAATATCAAATTAATATTTCCTGGAGATGCGCAGAAAGAAGGATTTTTTGGGTTAATGTATTGCAAGGGTTTGTAGTTTGTATTATGTTGGTGATTAGAATTCATGCCTTACCCGTATTTTGGGTTGATTTTCGAGGAATCGAGCATGCCTACTTAGTTGAATTGGTTTTTTCATGCCTTGTTGTATCTGTATTGTCACTAATATTGTGTTAGTAGCTTGTTATTGGCCTTAGCCTAGGTGTAGGCTAGTGACTACCTTAGACTCGTATTTTAGAGCCAAAAAGCCTTCAAGATTCTTCGACGTTGCTTTGTACGACTTAGCTCCTTGTAGACTGATATAACATACTTAGGTCTGATAGTATGAATTCTTAGCTAGGAAACAGTTCAGCTCTTATGAATGTTCATCCATAATTTCCCTTGTGTTTCAACTTGAATGTGTTCTTTGGCAATATCGACCCTTGTAGGCTATATTGGATCGGGTCTTGGGTTTTAGAGATGGAGTGGGTCCCTGATGACTCTTAAGATGGTTTTACTCTATGGTATGGCCGAGATTGAGGAAGAGTGGGTGACTAGGAGACAGTCAGAATCTATTATCCATGATTTGAAGTCCCTGCACATGATTATTATCTATGGTTCAAGGTCCGTTCACATGATTACTGTCCATTCACATGATGTCGGCTGACTTGTGAGCTAGCAGTACAACCATGTAATGTGAATAAACATTACTACAATCTCAATATACAAACAGGGTAAGTATATATACAGATTATGTATTTATAAATTTAGGAATTTTTCAAAACTTATACAATTCAGATGTTACAACAAGATAATTAAATACAAGCTAGGGTACACATATATAAAATCTGGATCTATACAATTAGGAAAATTCTGGATTTATACAATTATGAACCAAAATATACAAATTCAGAATTTATACAATTAGGAGCCAAATTATACAAATTTTGGACGTGAGCCACGTAATTATGATTGTAAGTTAGTGGCAAATGGTAATTTAATTAAATTGTAGTTATGTTAACTAATTAACTAGGTATATGTTTGTTTATCCACATATTCCCCCCCTATAAAAATGCATAGGCCTTAACAATCATTAGGGTTTGACCATTTATGAAAGTGATATAGTACACTAATACGTAGAGATTAAAAACTTTATTTCAACTCATTATTTTAGTCAACTTTTAGTTTTTAACTACTCGCTCCGTCCCATTTTATGTGAGGTAGTTTGACTCGGCAAGAAGTTTAAGAAAGAAAGGAAGACTTTTAAAATTTGTGGTCTAAAATGAATGATAAAAACTTGTGTGGCTATAAATCATTTCATTAAGAGTAAAACAGACATTTTAAAGTTAACTTATTACTTAATATAGAAATGTGTCAATTCTTTTTGGAACTGACTAAAAAGGAAAGTAGTCATATAAATTGGGCCAGAGGAAGTATCATTTAGGCTCCCCACTCTATATAAGAGTTAAAGTATCAAATTTAAAACTAAAACCAAGCTCAAAGGCTTGTATATTGTATTTGTCAAAACAAAAAGTTATCCTATTTTGTCTTTCTTATTTTCATTATTTAGTATTGTTATTTTGAGTTTGATTTCTGAACAAAAGTCAAATTAATTGAAAGTCACATGTGTAATCCTATTTATTTATTTATTTATTTAGAAGTGTGACCTGTAAATCTTCTTCTTGTATCTTGGGCTTTTTCAGAATTTCCTCAATATAATTTCCAGGTCCACACATCAATCAATTAGGACCATTTCTTAAAATTATACATGTCGTTTTTTTGGCTAACATAATATACTTCTAAAATTCCTTATGAAGTACAAGTTGTGGATCTAAACTTTCACCTTATTGGTGAGGATTCAATTCCCCATATTATAATACCCTATTCTCAAAAAAAAAATTCTTCCTTTTTTGTTGGCCGTTATCTATCTTTCAGTTATTCACCTACTTATGGTCAAGAAATGTGGTGATAATAAATATTGGAACTGAGGTCCTAGTTAAACTCAGGTTCCAGTAAAACATTTTGTTATTATTCCCTAAAACAGAGGAGTCTCTCTATAAATAGCCTCTTTGCTATATATCAACTTAGTAGACCTCCTTTGAATTACACAAACTTAGTACATGAAATCAAAACCAAAAAAAACACAAACTTATTACCAAAAGCATCAACTATGTTCAATATGTACTTCCCACAATTTCCTCTTGATTTGCCAAAATAAAATGAGCCCAATTCAACTGGAATTTGACACACTATCTAGTCTAGCTATTTGGCGTTCCTCCGCCACAAATGTGATGTACTTTGAGAAGAAAACATCCAATTCATGTTTTGATCTCCAGAACCATGTTACCATTACAAGAAGGTACCCAAGTATCTGCATAACTATCCAAAAAAACCCAACACATGCTCTGTGGAGGAGTCACATAATCGATGTTAAAAGAACTACTTTTCTTGTTTTTCTTTTTCAAGCCTCTCTTCTTTTGTTACTTTTTTCCTCAGTGGTAAGCATCATAGTTAATAATAGATTTTGCCTTCTTGTGCTTGTCACCTATTTTCATGAAATAATCCACCTCATTCTTTGACCTGCAATTACCCCCGAACATATGTTCAATATAGTATCTATCGAAAATTCTTGTATTGGCTCGAGTGGTTTGAACATTTGTTTCAAACCTCCAATTCTCTAGCAACCACTTCGGCCTATCTAGATTCACCCGACGAATAGGCGTAATCTTCCTCTGAATCTGCAACTTACTCGGAGTTACATCGGACACCTTTCCTTCAATAGATACATCATATTTGTTTGGTGTGGTGGTCTCTACCCTAACATCCAACTCAACATCAATGTAGGTTCCCGACGGTAACAACTAGTCGAAGGTATACCATCATTGTAGAAGTCGTCGGTGGTTACAATTATCGGTGGGATGGAAGAGACATCGAAGTCGGCCTTAGTCATTGAAGGAAGCTTTGAAAGAGTCAATGTGGAGAAAAAGTTCATAACGAGAGGCTTCCTCTTTCAAAGCTTCCTCTGATGACTAAGGCCTATGCCACTGTCTCTTTCATCCCACCGACAATTGTTACCACCGATGACTTCTACAATGATGGTATAGCTTCCGACTCATTGTTGCCGCTAGGAATCTACATTGATGTTGAGTTGGATGTTAGGGTAGAGATCACCACACCAAACAAAGGTGATGTACCTATTGAAGGGAAGGTGTCCGATGTAACTTGTAGTAAGTTTCAGATTAAGAGGAAGATTACGCCTAAGCGTCGGGTGAATCTAGATAGGCCGAAGTGGTTGCCAGAGAATTGGAGGTTTGAAACAAAAGTCTGTACTGGTGGAGCCACATCAGAAAAAAAAAAAGATAGATACAATTTTGAACCGGTGTCCGGGAGTAAATTCAGGTCAAAGGATGAGGGGGATCATTTTCTAAAAACAGGTCACATGCGTAAGAGGGAAAAATTTGACCTTAACCGTGATGTTGCTACACCATCTGAGGGATAATAACAGAAGAGGAGTGGCTCGAAATAGGGAAAAAAAAGAATGTTGATTAATTGCCTCAATTAGTGCAGTAACTATAGTCAAAAGAAGTTGTTTTACTTTCTCCAACATATTAGCCATCTTTAGTAGTTTAACTTAGTTGTTATTTTGTAGGAGTTAGTTGTTACTTTAAGTGGTTTATTCAACATGGGAACATGTGGTAACATCTCGCAAATTGAAATAACTAGGAAGAAGTCAAGAATTGGAAATAGTGATTTTGGAAAATAATTAAAATTTGGAAATTTGTTCAAGTTAAGTTAAGGATGAGTTTTAGTCAACTTCAAACGACCATAACTCCTAGATCAGGAGGATTTAAGTGTGTTTCCAGATATTGTAGAAAATATCTTGGAATAATCTTTCCAACGCCGCCGAGTTTGCGCGATTCCGAGTTTGTCTGAGTGAGATTTACCCTTTGGAAGTTGGGTTGTTTAGATAAGGAAAGTCTAATCCGAATTTTGGAAGGGTATTTTAGTCTTTTCCTTGCCAAATTTTTTTATTTCGTTTTTTGGTAATTAAGTTAGGGTCTAATCAAAATTAGACCAGTTAAAAAAGTTGAAGTTCACGCTAGGGCTTGGAGAAAAGAGAAAAGAGGAGAAAGGAGAAGAAAAGTTCAAAGTTCGTCGATTTCTTGGAGATTTTCGTGTGGATTTCGCCAAGGATTTCATTCTACAAGGTATGTGAGGCATTCATAACATTGAGTTCATTCATCCACGTATCAAATATGTTTATTTCAGCGTGAATTCGTCCTAAAAGAGTTTGAAAGTTGATGTTCTTGATATGTATTCCTGAATTTGATATTGTTCTTGAGTTAGGCTGAAATTGAGAAGTCTCTGAGATCATTACGTCAAATTATTGAGTTGGTTGAAGTTAGGTTCTTAGGTACATTTGTTCGGTATCTGTATCTAAAAAGAATTTGGGAAAAGAAACGGAGTTTGGGTGAATTGGGATGGAAAACGAAGAAGAAATTTAGTCGGGCAAATCTGGGCACTGGCTATGCGTCACGGACCTGTTCTCCAGATTTGGTACAAATTCTTTCGCGTAGAGGGGCATTCACGGACCGTTCTGCCTCAAAAAGTATTTTCGTGACCAAAATTTAAATACCTCTCCGCGTTGCGGACCTACCCTCAGACAGTGATTTTTTGATATTTTCTCATGTTTAGTTATCTAAAATCATTTCTAAACATCATGAGATCTTTCCTATCACAAATCACAATCCTTGAATCCATAATTCAATTCAAGGAAAGTTAAGAGTCAAGTCAAGAGAAGTTAAGAAGCAAGTCAAGAGAAGTTTATAAACTTTTCAAAAGTCTTTCACAAATGTTTTAACTTTGTTTTAAGACTTAATTTTCAAGTTAAGCAAAGAGTAAAGAGTTGAGTTCATTTCTCAAAAAGTTATAAGGGAACTAAGTATTCCCAAGGGTTTGTAATGTTTTCACATTTGAACAAGAAAGGGAAACACCGATTTCCAAGAGAGCTTTTAAGCTAAAGTTTTGAGTAATTATCTCAAACCAAAGAAAGAAGTTTTGATTTTTAAATCATATGAGCTAAGTATATTTTGGGAGTAGTATTGAGCATCGATATGGGACTGCGAGTTCATATTAACTCAAGTCTCCATAAACCATATAGCCATCACGGGAAGTAAAGGATCATACTTTTTAGATGACTTCTTAAGATGTTTTTAGCATAGACTAGTGAATCCACTTAGTTAAGCGTTCTATATGACAGCAAAGTATATGACAATTCTGGCAGCGTGGACAAGACGTTGTATCACCACTTAAGCTCAGAGTGGTGGTTGTCGATTAGAGAAACTCCCACAGAAACTGTATTACTTTATTATATGAGTAAAGTTGAGTTTGTTATTGCATTTTCTTTAACGAACTAAGTTGTTTTTCTACTGTTTTAAAGGCTTTCTATTTATTGCATGTGTTTTATTGCTTTATATTAAGTTAAGTTATTCAGGAGTTGAGTAAAGCCAAGGTAAGTGTTCCTTTTAGATCTTTTTCAAACTTAAGTTGTGTTTAACATTCCAACTCGCATACTCGTACATTCAATGTACTGATGTCAGTTGGTCTGCATCGTCTTATGATGCAGACGTAGGTAACCAGGATCAGCATCCAGTGCCTCGTTGATCAGGTTGAGCATTCAGAGTTAGTTGGTGAGCCTTCTTGCATTCCGAAAGACTCTTTTATCATTTGCTTTCTAGTTTTCAGTTGTTAGGATGATCTGGGGTCCTGTCCTGACATCCCTCTTTGTTTTAGAGGGTTCATAGACAGTTAATAGTTCAGTTGTCTTTACATTATCATTTCATATGTTAAGACTTGAGTTGCCATTTAACCAAGTTGAATGTTGACTTTTAAACATTCTAAGTTATTTTATTTAACAATTGAGTAAGTGCATTTGATCGTTGTAATAATGCTTAGAGTTTTCCGTTGAGTAAGTAAGACAGGCCAAGGGTTCGCTTGGGGCCAGCAATGGTTCTCAAGTGTCAGCCACGTCCGGGGTGTAGGCTCGGGGAGTGACACATGTGCAAGTAGTTGCTGAAATATATGTTATAGTTGTTGCATTTTTCTTGTATTTAAACACCATTTTAATTCAATGAAAGATTATCTTTCAAGCAACAAATATTTATTTTCTTCTTCTTTCCTTTATTTCATTTTTTAGAGTTGAAGTTCAGATTGAAAACACCAACAAAAGTGTTATCAGAGCTTTCTTCTTGAGGAACTTGTAATTGAGGGATAATAATTTTTCTTATGACTTTTTTTATATATACGTTTAGAAACTCCTTGCACTGCACTAGCACCACCTGTCTTTAAAGGTAAAGGTAGTCATATCTAGGCATCAAGAATGGTGAAACATATGGAGGCAAGTGATCGGTGGGAAGCTGTTAAGGAGGACTACAAAGTACCTTCCTTGCCTGCAAATCAAACTATGGCGTAGATAAGGAACCACAAGAACAAGAAAACAAGAAAATCAAAGGCTAGAGAGACGTTATTTGCTGTACTCTCATCTAAAATCATTGTCAAAATTATGAGAAATAAAACAACATTTGAGGTCTGAAATTTCCTAAAGAAAGAATATGAAGGAGATGAACGGATCAATGGAATGCAGATTCTCAACCTGGTAAGAGAATTTGAACTTCAAAAGATGATGGCAAGAAGTACACATCTGATCAATTCAATATCTTTTGTGAAGAAGACGGGCATGAACACCAGCTCAGTGCACTATGTATTCCACAACAAAATGGAGTTAGTGAGAGGGAAAATCGTACCATAATGGAGATGGCTAGATGTTTGTTGTACGAGAAGTGTTTTCCAAAAGAGTATTGTGCTGAAGCTACACATACCTTAGTCTTTCTACTCAACATCCTTCTGGCAAAAACATTAGAAGGTAAGACACCATTTGAAGTCTTGTATGGTTATAAACCTTTTTTTGAAAAATCTCAAAGTGTTTGGATGCTTGTGCTTTACTTATGTGCAATAGACATAAAGAGATAAGTTAGATAAAAAAAAATCTGGAATATTTCTGGGTTACAACATTGTTTCTAAGGCCTACAAGGATTTCCAACCTCATACAAGGAAAATCCTGATATGTGATAAGCAAAGATGTTCATTTCATGGAAGATGAACGATGGACTGGAAAGAAGCAGAACCAAAATTAATTCCATATCAAAGTAAAATGCTACAGCTGAAAGAAAATGAATTGGTGGATGATATCCAGTAAGAGCCACAACATCTCTCTATGAAATCTATCAAAGATGCAATATGGTTGTCCTTGAACCAACAAATTTTCAGGAAGCAGAAAAAGATCCAAAATGTAGAGTTGCAATAAAGTAGGAACTCACCATGATTGACAAGAAACAGACTTGGAAACTTGTGAAAAGACCTGAAGACAAGAAAGTCATAGGAATGAAGTGGATTTTCAGAACCAAGTTGAATATAATGCAGATGATTCTATCAACAAGCACAAAGCCAAACTTGTTGTAAAGGGTATGCTCAAATTTTTGGTATTGATTTTTCTCATACATTTGTTCCTGTTGCTAGATTAGAAACCACCATATTATTTTTGGCTATAGATCCACAAAGGGGTTGGAGAGTGTTCCAATTCGACGTTAAATTTGCATTCTTGAAGAGGAAATTTATGTTGAACAACGTGAAGGATTTGCAATCAAAGGGCATGTATCAGCTCAAAAAAACTTTGTATGGAGTAAAGCAGGTGCCCAGAGCTTGGTGCAACACGATTGATGAGCATTTGGTTCAACTAGGTTTTAGAAAATGCCTTAGTGAAGCTACTCTCTACATTCAAGGTGATAAAATTAATCTTATTGTTATCTCACTATATGTAGATGATATACTAGTTACCGGAGGAATTGATGAACTTTTTAAGAAATTTAAAGAAGATATGCAACATACTTTTAAGATGACGAACTCCTGCAAGTAACACCATTATCACCCACACACAGAAACACCCATTCTTCATTTTCTCTTTTCCCTTCTTATTCCTTGTACTTGGTTGACTCTCTACTGAAAAAGAGGCTTTGTACTGTTTACCCATTTAATCTCTTATACTTTTTCATTTATTGTGTATTTCCACTATATAATTAATTTAACTTCTTGCTGCGAATACCCTTTCTCTTATCCTCTAAGATTTTAACATCTGCAAAATCCACGCCAAGTCAGAAAGAGATTGACTTCGAGAATTCTCAACTTTATAGGGAGACGAGCGGTTTGTTATGCTTTAAAATGCATTCATGCTAAGCCTATGTACTATTTGTGAATGCCACTCTAGTAGAAGTAAATCCATACCTAGTTGTTGTGTATTTGACTTCTTTTTTTTCTTATTTCGGTTGTGACTTGTGCGCTAGTAGTACAACCATGTAATGTGAATAAACATCAGTACAATCTCATCATTCATTTTTATTACTACCCGAAATGAAATTTACATAATCGCATGGGTAGACAAGCTAA